TTCAAGCCTGCGTTGGGGGAATTTGAACCTCGGACCCAAAAGCAAAACACAAGTAATTCTCGACTTAATGACCTGCAACCGGGATGAGAATTTCTGTTCTTAAGCAAGGCTGTTCGTCATACGGGTCTTGCCTGATTTTACGACCTCTTTTAAATTAAGTGAACCGCTTCCGTCGTTAAGCGAACCGCACAGTCGTTAAGCGAAGCAGGCTCCCCCCCCCATTGACTTTGCCTGTCGGAAACCGGCTGGGAAAGGTCGCCAAGGATGATCACATGACCCCTTGGGAGACGCTGCGACCGTCATAAGTACGAATCCAATTTTTTTTTGATCACGTAGGGATGCCGTGACGGCCGTGGTGTGTGAAAAACGGCTTTTTTTTCAGTGCCGTTGTGACTTTGAATCGTCACTAAGCGAGTGGTCGTACGTGGAGGACTACCTGTTATTGTTAACGGCCTGCCCAGAAGGAATTCCATCCCAAAAAATTATTTGAACAAATCAGAAAGCTGCAAGGCTACATTCCTTTGGTCTCCATTTCTCTGTTAAACAGTGTCACTCCTCTGAAAACTTGATTTCCCGCCCCATATATTTGCCAACCATGAGGACTAGCACCTTGGTTTCCTGCTTAAAACGGAAGCTAGGATTCTTGAGAAAGAAGATTTGGGAGACTAAACGGGGAGCAATGGAGGTGGGTGGGCTTTTGGATAGGGACCGTAGAGTTGTCGTTTTTTATTTATGTTCTATTTGTCTTTTGTAAAGTCGTTCCTAAGCCAAGAAAGTTCTGGAAACCCCCCACCCACCAATTATTACTCCAGTCCTTTTTTTACCTGTCCAGAAACAAAAACGTGCAGGTAGACAGTCCCCTTCATTCTCACACTGACAAGAATAACAGAATAACAGAGATTAGATAACCTTTATTGTCATTTTTTTCCCCGTGGGTGCAACGGCACACATTAAAAAATGAAATTTAGTTGCTTGCTCTCAAAGTGTACACACATACATAACACCCATTTAAAACATACTATGTACAACATATGTGTGGACCTAAACCCTTACATATAAGCAACATGCAAATATTATTCACTGTCTGTCTTGAATACATAGCAGGAGGAGGAAGAGTTGGAAGGGACCTCGGAGGTCATCTAGTCCAACCCCCTTGCTCAAGCGGGAAACCCTATATATCATTTTTAGACAAATGGCTGTCCCGTCTCTTAAAAAACCTCCAGTGATGGAGCACCCACAATTAAACAGAATAGCAGAGTCGGAAGGGACCTTGGAGGTCATCTAGTCCAACCCCCTTGCTCAAGCAGGAAACCCTATATATCATTTTTAGACAAATGGCTCTCCCGTCTCTTCAAAACCTCCAGGGATGGAGCATTCACAGCTTCTGGAGGCAGGTTGTTCCACTGTTTGATTGTCCTCCCTGTTAGGAAGTTTCTCCTTAGCTCTAGGTTGCTTTTCTCCTTGATGATTTTCCATCCGTTGCTTCTTGTCCTGCCTTCAGGCGCTTTGGAGAATGGCTTGACTCCCTCTTCTTTGGGGCAGCCCCTGAGATACTGGAAGACTTGCTATCATGTCACCCTTGGTCCTTCTTTTCTTTAGACTAGACCAGGGATAAGGCAACCTTGGCTCTTTTATGACTCGTGGACTTCAACTCCCAGAATTCCTGAGCCAGCATGGCTC